CTGCTAATTCACTATCCTTTGAACCTGAATTGCATTATCAAATCAATCATATTTCTGATTGCTCAATAAACAGGATTGCTGCTACTCTGGTATAACAAAATGCTTACATCTATATCACAATCCACCACCTCCTAAACATGATGAAAACAGTAATTTTATTATTCTGGTAGGATAAGAGTTAATGCTCAATCCTCTGACTTGAGCCTTATAAGATCTGCATGTCCAGGACTGGTTTTATTTTTAATCCCAGCACTCGGAAGGCAGAGGCAGGCTGATCTCTGTGAGTTAAGAGTCCAGCCTGGTCTACAGAGCCAGTTTCAGGACAGCCTCCAAAGCTACAGAGAAACCCTGTCTCAAACCACCCCCCAAAAAACAAATAAAAAAAAAAAGGTTTTATTCCTTTCAATAAATAGAAAATCACATTCACTGATATTTCAAAGCAAAATATCCATATGCAATTGTCAACACAAATTATATTAATTTTCCAGATGGTAAGTTAATTAAAAGGTTCATGCGATATATTACATACCACAGCATTAAAAATCTAAGACTATACTGTAGAAATACATGGGCTAATAGTTACGGGTTAATAATTAAGAGAGCTAGCCAAGTCTGGCATTGCTGACACATGCCTTTAATCCCAGCACACAGGAGGCAGAGGCAGGCAGATTTCTGTGAGTTCCAGGCCAGCCTGATTTACAGAGTGAGTTCCAGGACAGCCTCCAAAACAATGCAATACAGAGAAACCCTGTCTCAAAAAAAAAAGAAAGAAAGAAAGAAAGAAAGAAAGAAAGAAAGAAAGAAAGAAAGAGAAAGAAAAAGAAAAGAGAGAGAGAGAGAGAGATAGCCAGCAGTAAGAAGCCTAAGTCATTGGCCAAACAGTTTATAGTTAATATGTGTGTGTTTACTTGAAGCTAAAAGGCTGTGGGAGCAGGTGGAACAGATACTCCATCTTCACTATACAATCTCAGTGTTTTAACCAGGACCCTTCTCATGTTTCTTTACTAATGAGGGAGATACTTTAAATGAGTTTCAGCAAACAAATATAAAATAAGGGCTCTGAAAAATCTTATCACATCCTGTTATTTAGGGAGCCAATCATAATAGTATTTTTCATGAAAACAAGCGGGGCCTTTACTTTAAAAATCTCATGTTAAGATACTTTTTCTACCTGTGCTGCTTTTCACTCCTGAAATACACCTTTCACGTGAAGCAATTTCTTTTAAAAACCTAAAACCATATAACAAGTGTCCTAGAGTAACCCCACCCCCACCCCTTCCCCAGACTGACTCCTGTTCTTGGTAGCTAGCACTCAGTTTCCCTAGTGTTATGTGAGTGTGCTAATAAAGGACAGAAAAACAGAATGAGTATCAAAAGCCAGTCCAGATTGCCTCTGACAGTCACTCAAGAACACATAGAGGCCATCGTTTCTCTCTAGCCTACAGTTACTCAGTGTGTGATTCTGGGAACTGTAGCATAAGCATCACCACAGAGTTTGTTAGAAATGCAAATAAAGAGCTCCACCCCAGAGCAACTGGATCAAACTCTGGGAAAGGGCCCAGTAACTTCAGAGTTTTAACAAGCACAACAGAAAACTACAATGTGTGCTAAAGTCAAAGAACAAGTCCCCCACGAACTTTAATGTGCATGTTAAAATGCAAATTGTAATTCAGGGGGTTGAGGTGGGGCTTGGGAGCCTACAAGTCTAATACGTTCCCAGGTAATGTCTTTTATGGACCATATTACAAGCATTTTCTAAAACAGTTATTTGCCAACATTACCCAAGATGCTCATAAAATATGGAGTCCATGGCACTCCCCCAGATCAAATTAATCCCAATCTCAAGAGAAAAAGCTGGAAAATACACAGGTCTCCATTCCAACTACACACTAAAATTACCTGGGGAGATGTGAATAACTCTGCTTCCCAGGTCCCACCCTTGATCGACTAAATCAGGATCTCTGGGGATAGATTGCAGTTTCCCATTTTGAATAACTTCCCAATGATTCTGATGTGCAGCCGTAGCTGAGAAGGAATGCTTAGGAGTCTAACTGATTCAACACCTGCCACAGTGCAACCTTTACAGTAGCCAACCAGTTTTTCTAAAGCGGCTTGTGTGAGCTTCCTCGCCTATTTATGCTTTGGTTTGTGAACAGGAAAATGTACTTCACATTACGGTTTCCTTGTGTCTTGAATCTTATTTCTGGAGGGAAATAAATGTGCCCTCTGCAATGGTTAGGTACTCAAAAGACAGGGGCAACCTTGAAGTATTTGTGTCTATGTGGCCTATTATACGATGGCCTCTTTCTTCCCCCACCTGAAACACTGAAATTTCTGATGACCTGTCAGAGTGGCAGGGTAGCAGATGTATCTGTAACTTCTAAACCTACAAAAGTCAGATTCCACCAGTTACAAGCATTTTGACTGGAAGGTCTAGGAGATGCACTTTTACATATGTCAATTTGGAATTGTCAAAAGCATGTCTTCTGGTAGAGAGGAAAATTAAAAACAAGACCTTAAATATAATGTCTATAAGCGAGAGGCCTATACAATGCCACACTAATAAGCACACATTATAATCAAATAGGTAAAATGTTAAAGTATGTGGCGATTACCAAGGCACTGTAAAATAATCAGTTCTTTTCCTCTCAGAATCAGATTTTCTTGATTTTGACATTGTTTAAAAATTAGTTTAAATGAAAGTGACACTCGGTCCTTCATCCTCTGGTTGCTCAGGTTCAGTGCCTTCTATAAACTATTTGTTCTATAGAAACGTGACATACTAAAAGCCTACTAATGGTTCATAGCTACATTTTCCTCATACCAGCTCAACACATTCACAGTGATCAGATAGGTGTCTTATCTGCTTAATAACTTGAAAGGCAGAATTCAGCAACTAGGGTATTAAGAGAGAAACAAGGTATGTGTGCAAAGTGGCTATTGCTTAAAACATTTTTAAAGCATCTCTTTATGCACTGGTCAAGATCATTTTCCTCTTAACTGTTGTTATAGTTACTCAGTTAACCCAAACTCACTTTAAAATGTGCGAAAACAGCACCTCCTGAAAGTGTGTTCTCATATGCTTTGGAGCAATGGAGCGTGAGTGCTAAAACAGCCTTTGCCAAACTCAACAGCTCAAGAATTGAACAGGAGTAAATTTTTACAGTCCCATGACTTCACAGAGCCAAGCTAAGAATTACCCCAGGTCTAGCTTTTACTACATCACAGCCATCCAAGAGAAGGTAAAAAAGAAAAGAAAAAGTCACAAATAAGTGACTAAGTAGCTAGTATTTCATAGTTTTTTAACATGGCCATCTTTTTAAAATGGACTTTACATCTTAATGAAAAAGCAAATCGGCCAAATAAAGGTATAGACTTAGGATTTAAGCTCCTAGAATTAGCACCAGGAAATTTACAGAAGTACTTAATTTACTTGAGTGTCCACCGGGATGACGTTTCAATCATTTCTCATGAACTGATGCCCAAAGATGAACCAAATCTAAAGAAATGCACAGAGCACAGCAGAGTCATACAAAATTAAAGACATTTGAAGAATGAAAGCAAAGAAAACAAACAATACAAATGCACAATTTCCAGGACACTTTATTGTAATTTCCACTTTACATATTAATTTAATATTTTAGTAGAGTCAGATGTGTTCATAATTATCCAGTAGTAGTTCATTCCTCTAAGCTCACAAAATGAAAAGCAGCAAGTTAAAAAGAACATCCATTCAGGTATTTACGCTATGGGAAACAAGGGGCCCCGAGGCAGATGGGAGGGGATTCATGGTTTTCAGTTTGAGTGTACTGAAATTTTTCTCTGTATTTTTCTACCAATCATAACAGAAGCAATCATCCTTTCTCCCATTCTGCCTTCTTTTGGACTTTACATTCTGTCTAGCATTTAACTCAAAAACTCAGTTTACACTCAGTTTACACATTTTGAAAGAAAAGCCATATGCCCCATCTCCCACACAGCCAAATGGACAGAGATTAGAAGTAACCTGCCTTTTAGCCTGTAACAGCGCTATTTTAAACAATTTCAACCATGTACTTGAAGGATAAAATTATAAAGTACAAAAACCAAAGGAAATCGTAAAAGTGCCTACACATTTACCAGATTGTTTAACTATTCCTCAAATCACTGATTTTAACACAGATTGCTTAAATTGAAATCTACACAAAAGCGAATTCACCCTTAGTACAAGCTGACAGCGCTTTTTTTTTGGGGGGGGGGGGTCGGGGGCAACGTTCTTTGAATGTGCTATACCCAGACACTGGAATGAAGGAGTAAAAAAAAAAAAAAAAGGTCTCACTCTTCAAGTGTGAGGAAGCTGGTGGTGCGCTAGCTTCACTAGAAACACATTTTAATGGGTATGTTCAGTTAAAAATAGGTAGTAAATCAAAAGGTGTTTTAAGAAACCTCTCCCCTCCCCAAGGAACAGGGAAACCCAGAGGAAAAGCTGGGCAACCTCCCCAGAGCTCAAGAGCTAAGTTCTATCACTAGCAGAAAAGAAGTTAGATCACTGCTATTTTTCACCCTGCAATGGGATAGTAGCTCTCCATGTGCAAGGAAGGTACGCGGGGCGGGAATACTGGCGGGGCTTTCACGTGGGGAAATGGCGAGCCAAGTGAGGAGAGGTCGGTACCAACAGTGATCCAGATCTCCGCAAACGCCGGTGGGGCGAAGGGTGAGGGGTAGAAAAGATCGAAGGAAAGGGTCAAAACTCCTGGAAGTTAGCGCAAAGAGGAAGCGGAGAAGTCTGGAAGCCAGGGGGCCATGTCTGGCAAGCAGCCCCCTGCTCCAAGTGTGGGGTGCTCGCCTCGTGGGGCAGAGGACCGCCGAGCGCCCCTTGGGTCGGGGGGCTCTGGGGACCCGGACGGCGAGAGGGGCTGAGGGGCACCCGCGAGCAGGAGGCGGAGGACTTGCACTTTGCCTCAACTCTGAGCCCCATCCCGAGCCCGGGGGAAGAGGGCGACGGGGAGCGCGGTACTCACTAGGGCTCGTTGGTGAAGCGGGGGGTCCGGGGCTGCTGGTATCCGTACAGGTGACAGTAGAGCACATCGAAGCAAAAGCAGCACATCTCCGCTGACACCACCATCTTCCGGGAGCCCGGGGATGAGGACGAGGAGGACGGCGAGGAGGCGGTGGCGGCGGCCGGAGTAGAAAGTAGGGTTCCCACTCCGCAGCTCAGAGGTGGAGACAGCGAGATGCCCCCGCCGCCGCCGCCGCCGCCGCCGCCGCAGCCCTGGGGGGGAGAGAGGGTACAGCCGCCGCCGCCGCCGCCGCCGCTCAGCCCGCCCAGCCCGTTGAGCCGCGTCCCGGCGCCTCCTAGTCCCAGCTCCCCGGCTCGGCACTGGCTCTCCCCGCTGCAGTGGGAGGAGGAGGAGGCGCCACCACCGCCGCCCGAGCCGGAGGGGGGCGAACTGGACAGTTTCTGCTTCTTCACCCCACAGCAACCCGCCGCCATCTTGGAACAGTCTCCCCCACGCAGCGCTTCCGACCCATAAGTGAGGCGAGCTGGCGGCGGGGGCGAGCACGCTGCGGCCCCGGCCGCCGGGGGCGCGCCGGGGGCTCGCAGTCTGCGCGCGCACGCCGCTCGGCTGCCGGGCTGCCCGGCCGGCCGCTGCTCGGGCGGGCGCGGGCGCGCGCCGCCGGCGGGGGCGCGCCGCGAGCTTTCGTGGCTTGGCGCCTAGAGTGGGTCCCGCCCGACTCGCGCCTCCCGGGAGCTGGCCTCCTGGGGGGGGGGGGGGGGGGGGAGGATGGAAGACGGAAAAGCGGAGGGGAAGGAAAAACGAGAACAAGACCGGGAGGAGTGGGAAGAGGGGAGGTGGGCAAGCTCCAAGAGGAAGCAGGGACACAGAAACTAGTGGGGGGTGGAGGGTGGGAGGAGAGGGAGAAAGTCGGAAATAAGCATCCAAGTTCGAAAGCACACTTTGGTGATACCCCATTGCATGTAGGTTTAGCGACACTCGAGCCCAGTTAGGTGGAACCTGAGCCACTGGCCTCAAATACACTGGTTCTGAACTGTTGGGAGTGTGAGCAAGCAGGTGCTCTCTGGAGCTCCACACCTGAGACAGCCACTGTATGTAAAGAAGGTACAAAGCAGTCCGGGAAATGGCCATGCTGAGGTGTTTTTAATGTTAACCTGACCACATACCACGATTGCTCTGAGATTATGCTGGAAAGTCAATACTTTTCCCATTTTTAATTGACAACTATTAAAGCCCGATCAATCAGCATATCTTGTACTTGTTCCCTACATCTCCTCGGAGTCCAGGGAGAACATTTAAAAGTAAAAATAAATATATAAATAAGTGCCCCACAAACACCTCACAGGTTCTAAGATGTTTGTTGTGGTTTCACACTCGCAGCTGTGGACTTTTCAGGCTTGGTGTTTGGGACATGAAAATAAAGAAATTCAAAATATATCTCAAAACATCTATAATATCCAGACTTGACAGATAAATATGTCGGTCATGTAATGTACTTAGCTATGTTAGAAGACTTTGTTTAGATGTATAATGAGATTGTTCTTAATTCTCATTTTAAAAATTTGGCTCAAAACTGCTTGAATGAATGAAGGGGTGTGTATTATTGAGCAAGTCCCATTCTGATAGCTTAATAAGGGGCTGTAAAATGACAATATTCAGATATAAATATTCGTTTAAAAAACAAATCTGAAAGAAAATAAGTGATCTCTAGTGTGGCTACACTATGTCAAAGTAGCCCGACAAAGTCAGGAGTCTGTCTGTTTGTAAACAGTAGAAGATTGGTTTTGGAGCTGGGCGTTGGTGGCACACACCTTTAATCCCAGCACTCGGGAGGCAGCAGCAGGAGGATCTCTGTGAGTTCGAGACCTGCCTGGTCTACAGAGCGAGTTCAAGGACAGGCTCCAAAGCTACCCAAAGGGGGGGGGGGAGTGAACAAAAAAGAGATTGGTTTTGGTGCCTTTAATCTAAATGTGTGGGACCTTACAAACAGCAGAGGATGTTTCATTCCAGTGAGGAGGGAGAAAAAAGAGACTTATTCACATACTAAACATTGAGCCTCTATGTACATCCTTGTGCACTTCTGTTAAAAACTGACACATGCAGAAAATATGTATGCTTCCCACTCTTACACTTATAAATTAAGTCAGATCTCTATATTAGCAGAAACATTTATTAAGCACTTTTTAGGTATCTTACACCATCATTCTAGAAAGTTGTGTAGCATCTCATTTGATCTTAGCAGGAAGAATTTGAAATTTACTTAAGAGCTAAAATTCTTTAATTAAAACTCTCAAGTAGCTTGCTTAACATTAGACCTAGAAAGGGACAGAATCAGGATTTAAACGCAATGATGTCCTGTTCTAAAACCCATTTCATAAATGGTCAGTGGTAGATTGCTTGCCTATCATGTTTAAGAACCTGTGTTTGATCCCCAACATCAGGAAATAAACCATTAAAAAGCTTCACTACTGCTCAGCCACAGTATATAATTTTTAAAAAGTTAGTAAGAAAGTGAAATTAAGCTCTATTAGAGTAGCACCAGGGTTAAACAGAAAGAACTTTGTTTTAATAGATTGAAAGATTGAAAAACACTGTTATCAAGAAGAAAACACATTCCAAAAAATACCCTATGAAATGGACAGACAGGCAACTAGAATGGTTAAATAGTGTCTCCACACGCACATGCTATTTAAGTTGGGAAGAATGGCATATCCCTGTAATCCCAGTACTCAGAAGATTAAAACAAGAAAATCACAAGTTCAAGGTCAGTCCAAGCTACATAGAGAAGACACTGTCAAAAAGTCAGATGAGGGGAAAGAGATGGGGGTAGTAGAGGATGAAGAAGGGGGGAAAGAGGATGAAGATTTAACTGGTTTGTGATAAAGAAGGCAAATAATAATTGCCAGGCACTATTGGAGTAAAAGTGTGTCAATTTTTGACATGTTGGAAAAGAGAAAACAAAGTGCTTGAAAAGTTCAAAGTACGATAACTAATACACTATTTCTTTTGTTTTGCCTTGTACCTGATCCTCCTTTTTGGAAACGAATCATCATTGTACCTTGAATACATGTACTGAATAATTATGCTGCATCCCTTAAATAAGTACAAATATTACACTTCAATTAAACATAAACTATTTTCAAAAGAAAGAAAAATAAAATCATACTGGTGTGAGATAATGACTATGTTACCTGACTCAGATATGGTGATCATTTTATAATATATACATATAATAGGAGACATCAAGTTTCAAACCTGAAATAAATACATTCGTCAACTAGACCTCAATAAAATGGGGGGGGTGACTTGATTAAATACAATATTATACTATGGGTGTCAACTTACTCCCCACACCTACCAAAATGAGAACACTTGTAGAATAGAAAACCTGAACCATTTAGTGGCATCACACTACAAAGTAGGGTACCATGGGTGCCATTTCTGCTGAGGGAATTTAAGAAAGCAGAATGCAATCTCCCGATTTAGAATTTGGCCAGTAGACAAGAGCCTAACGCCCCTACTCTAGTGAAAATAGCAAGGAATCTTTAATGGGCACCAGTAGTCATGTCCTTAGTTCTGCATTTCATCTAAAAGATAAAACACTATCGTGGTTGTCTTGCCAGGCAAAGGGCTGACTGATGCAATGGGAAACCCAATAACAAGGATTCTCCAGCTGAATTACAAAAATAGCTTTTCCCCCAAGGATTTTTCATTCCAACTCTGAGCTTCACTATCACAAGGCAAATAGACAAACACAAATGTGATCATTGCAGAAAATACATCATTACCTGACTACTAGGGCTTACTCATCTGGAGTCCTTTGTTGTACTGGTTTGCTGAAATGAGGGGAAGTAAATAGTAAACTTTTTCTGTGTGTGAGCCGCTAACCTTGCAAAATCACTAGCACAGAAACAAATGCCTGTAGACAGACACAGGTATATACATGGATTTCATTCAAACATACACAAATCTATAAAATAAATTCTGTATCACTATATACATAGCATACTGGATAGGAAACTGAGCAAGATCAGGGTTCTTTTGACTCAAAGTACAAATGTCAAAGGTAAGATAGTGTGTCGTTTCTACCCTTTGCTGACCCTGGAGTGCAGTGATAATACTTTTCAGAGGAGACTTTGAGGCGCCTTTTCTCTTTGTAACTCACTGTTGAGCTGGGAGCTAAAGATCCCAAGTTTCTCTTAAGTAATAAAAGCAAAGTAAATAAGCCTCTGGCTCTCTATCACCATTCAAATTGGCCATTCAAATTGAAACCATCTCTGCTTCTACATCTGCCTCCAAATTGCTAATAACCAACTTGTCAAATATTTTGTTTTTACAACAGTGGAAAAACTACTCAAACAGTGAATGTGTACACCGTTTTCTATGTGGTAAATTAACTTTAATTAAACCCAATGTCTACTGATTATTTTAGCATTGCCTCAATTTAGTCTCATATTTATAAGGGTTTTTTCATTTTAGAAAATAAGAATAATTGTAATTTGATGTGACAGTGAACTCCATAATGTTGCAAAAATTATTCTAGGTTTCTGGAGTTTGTGGTAAGATGAGAAGCACTCACATTGTTGAATTAAAAACAAAACACCATTTATGCCCAAACAAGTGTTATTTTTATCTCCTGCTATCCAACTTTCTCAACTGTCATCCTTGAACAACTGCAGAATGGAATATTCTTAGCTGCCACTTTGATCTAATCTTGTACACATGTAACCCATGGTTGTGGTGATAAAACTAGGCACTAGTTCCCATTTCATGTTTAACAAATATGTGAGATAATAGTAAAGTTTTACCTGGTTTTAGATTCAAATAGATGAACAGTTTTGTTTTCCTGGTTTCAAAAACATATTCTTGCCTCTTAAATCTTTGCTTTTATGTGAAGAATATGTTTACGGGTAGAAGTGCCATGATCTTGGACTATTTTTCCACTTACTTCATTTACATTTCCTATAGTATACTGGAGCACACACTAATTGAATGGTGCTTTGCTACCTATTTCCTTGAGACAGAGTTACATTGACTCTTTAATGAGATTTAGATATGCTAATATGAACACTGTATGTGAGAAAAAAGATAGAGCTAGCTCATTGTAGATTAAAAAGGAAAACATTTCAAGGAGGAGATGATGAAGAGATAGTATAGCAAGCAAAACGTGAAGGTGTCAAATGCAGTTTGCACAATGTCAATTTGATTCTTTCTGTTTTAAGGCCATTTATGCATACATCCATTAGGGTGTGCGTGTATATATATTACAATACCCAGCCTCCAAGTTTAATAATTAATATATAGTTGTTTTCTATTGCTAATCCCATCACATTCTGGAAAATTTATTTCAGTATATTAGAGGCACAAGTCAGGCAATGGGAGAATTAACTTTGTTAATTAAAAAGTAAAAGTCTATTGTGGTTAAAACTCTCTTTTGTACAAATACATAATTTAAAGTTTAAACTTGCTTGTGGAACTGAGGAGTAGAAATCTGAACTCCATAATTTCTACAGAATCCTGACTGA